AGAGCTTGAGCTCACTGGTCTGAAGCGTTCTTCCAAGGAACGAGCTCTAGCGCTAGGAATGCATGTCTCAAAGCCTGAAGCGCAAGTCAGCTCGCGCTTGTAGCTTTGACTGCAGTCTCAGCTTAAGGGTGAACAGAGTATAAAAGCGGGAACTCAAAAACTCCGTGCGTTCGTGCTTTGCTGGAGCGCGCGAGCGGGGCAGAAACGCAAAAAGCGCTGGTCTCGCGCTTGGTTTTGGCTTCGGTTGCTGATAAATTGGTGCTCGTATGTTTATACAGCCGGAAGTTAGTCTACCAAGTGGATGTCTGGTGTCTCAGCTGTAGATGAGAAATTAATACCCGTGCCACACGGGCAACTCGAATGCCATTTACAACGAATGACATTTGAGCGGACGGCCAATCAGCGCGCGACACTCCGGGCGTACCGCATTCCACGCGCGACAGATTGCGAGCTGATTCGCCGATTGTTCAAATGTCATTCGTTGTAAATGGCATTCGAGTTTCCCGTGTGGCACGGGTATAATACCTGTGCCACAAGGGCAACTCGAACCGCTAACCTGGGGTCTTTAACGTGCGGTACGCCGGTATTGGCGACGTGAGCGATCGAAAGCGTCGCTGTGATCGGTCTTTCACGATAGCCCGAATGCTGACTATGACGTCAGCAAAAGATTTCCCAGTGACGGAAATAAGAGGAATGGAAGAACTTCAACTTTGACGGTGTTGGCAGTGTTGGGTTGAGAGTGCTATGGTTTCAAGCTTCCACCATGTTCTTTAAAAACACCATTGAACTTGTTGTTCACAAGGTAATGACGTCACGAAAGGTAACCACAGGAGGGCGCCACCGAAACATCTCGCCGCCATGCTCATCCAGATCGAAACCGGCAAGGATGGGGATTGAACCCAGGATCCTGGGGTTCTACAGCGCAAGCTTTCGTTCCACGTGCTCCGCTAAGCCACCAAACTTGCGACTGTCTATACTTCGTTTCAGCTCGCAGATTAGGTGAAAGGAAAAACAATTGCAAGCTTAGTGGCCCGACTATTGCCTTAATGGGCACTATCACGCAAAGCGTGTGCGTGAACGTGCCTTGACTGGCTTGCAATCGCATGGGCTTACCCGCACGTGCAGAGACATGGCGGCGGTCAAAGGCCAAACTGCGACTCGCGAGCCGCATGCGGCTCTTTGCCGGTTCAAGTATGGGTCGCGGCTCTCTGGTAAGCGTGCCCTCTTCCCCTCCTGTGTCCCCAGGAAAATAACAGTTCTAGAATTAAATAAAAAGAAAGCTCACAGTCTTGGCAGATTACACTACGTACATACAGGAGGACTGTTCTTTGGCACACAGATGAGTCCAGTGACCCTGTTTCCTTGATTGTTCTAGAAAAACATTCGAACCGTATACGCATAACGGGCATCAGGGGCAGTGCCTAGCTAGCGAACCATGCATTAATTTTTGCTTAGCCGTTGAAAAAACGTTCTGCTGCCTGGTGGTATTTGTTGTAGTCGGCAATTATACATGTCCCGTTGGGAAAGGACTGTTCCCTCTAGATAATTCTTAAAAATAGCCTTCCCCCTCACTTTCCCCCTTTTCTTTTCTTCCCGCGGCTCTTTGAACCTTTGTAGTTGTATCAGCGGCTCTATCCCCGTGTCACTCTGAACAACCCGGTCTGTACCAACCCCCCCGTTAAAGCAGAGAACACACTTCTTCCAAGGGAGCAGAATGCGAAAATGGCTTAGTTTTTAGCCGAACTCGAGTAAGAAGAATCTGGCCGCTGTTCTTTTTTTTTTTTTTTCTCCCACCTTTGCCAGACTGGAAAGCGCTTATATATGTTTTAACGAGAATACAACTAAAATGTTCACGCTGTCTAGAGAAAAGCTCGAAATCCGCGAATTCAGTGATTGAGAGGAACATTCTAAATATAGCGAACACATCTTTTCATCATATTCGCACCAAAATTATGTTTTACCAGTTATCACAGTTATCCCCAAGAAACACTGGAGTGGAGTACGAAATTTCGTGGAATTTCTGCTGGAGGAATCGCCGAGAAGCGTCCGTGAAACCAAATGACTCTTGAGAGGAGCCGTCCTTTTTTTACTCCACACAACCGAGCGGAGGTGGAGTCGTCGGAGTCGAGCGTTTTAAGATTACGCCCGTCAAAACATGCAAACATTCTCGCTTTCCACCGTGGAACGCCGCCTCAGCAGTCGGATGTCTCCAACTCGGCAATTGGACACGAGCCCGATATGCCGAGCGTCCTGGGATGCGTTGATTGAACAGGAGACCCAACCGAACGACGACGCAGCGCTAGTCGTGTCGAATCCATGCCTTCGCTCGATCTCACTGTAATGGCGTCATAATTCCAGCGAACAGGCCTCGATTATTCGTTTCGCCATACGTCTGACCGTAGCGGCCACTACGAGCCATCTCAGCCAATCCTGCTCCGTGAAAGCAGCACGTGATATACCGTAGCCTCCTATATACTGAAAAAAGCCTGGCGGATCGCCACGAGAAACAACCGCCGAAATGGAAAAAGCGGAGCGGCAGACAACGGATCAGAGGAAAGCCACGTGACAGGCGCCCCCTTGCGGCGAGACGCCGAAACACACTTCTCCCGAGCGAACAAGTGTGTTTCGGGTCCTCGCCGCTGCAAAAGCTGTGCGCTGACGTCCAGGCTCCCCGAGAAACGAACCTTCTTTGCTATGTGCTATACCAGATCCTCGCGCTCCAAATCTGCGACCGGGCACTCTATGGCTCCGTCGCCGGACTGCCACGCGGCTTTATGAATATAGAGGAGGCTATGACTATACAGTCTCCGACCCTCACTGGCTTCTCTCAAAGGTCATGTGGCACTCACAAGGCCTTGGATTGGCCTCGACGGCTTGTACCATCCGCTGCGGTCGGTCAGGAGGTGTTGCGTGAATCACCCCGATCTCTGCATGCGTGGGCATGGGCGGTGGCGTTATTACGTGACGAAAGATAGACGTACGACGGTCCAACGAGTGTACGTAGCTTCCCCCGCGCTGTCAGCTTACTGGATGAAGGGGGCTAAAGCGACCTCTGGCAATACGGGGAAGCCGTCTCTAAAGACACGCCTACTTGACTACACGGGCGTCTGGAAATCGCGGCCTTGTGACGCAACCGGGAAAGGTTTGCATTGTGTCTCGCTTGAAACACGTGCCCTAGCTGTACCATGCATGTTCCGCGACAAGGGGGAAGTCGTAGAGGCCAGACATGGTGAAAGAGTGGCGCCCATAAAAGACGGGACGCAGAGGAAGCGAAACGCGGTGTCCTTTTTATTCACCAAGATAGCTGTGACGTTGTGCCACGTGTGTGAGTGCGATAGTTATGTTCTCTCGGTGGAATTTTTTCATAAATCTTTGAGTGGCAAGTTAGCGCTCGTCTTGCGTTTTTCTTCGTCTGTGCCCCGTCTTTTATGCGCTACTCTTTTACCTTATCTGTCCCCAACCAACCATCCCGTCAGTCCACTCTTTTAAATGCGCAGGTCGTAGTCTTGTCGAGGTGGACTGAACCTGCAGACCTTACTCAATTCTCCGCTGTCGGCTCCCGAGAACCTGCTATTGAGTACTGTAAAGCATGCACGTTTGACCGCCCCTGGCGCACCTCGTTAAAGAACAAATAAATACACAGCAGGTGTCTACTGGGGCACCAGATACTGTGGCGCCCTCGATAAAAGTGATGATGAACCGAAATTCGGAGCTCACAAAACAAGGTTGGAGCGATAGGCGGGACGCTGCAAGACACAAAAACATCGCTCATACAGCGATATCTCTCAAGCCGGGGTCACATTGCTCGCACCCCATCATACAAAAGACAGTCTGCAAACACGAATCACCGCAATATCCGTGGTTTGAATGCCGCGTGCCAAGTTTCCACCTTGAACTCATTACCATGCGGCATTGGAAGCACGGACCTCTCGATGACTCACGTTCGAATCTGTATGCAGAATATCGTTTGTATGATGTATAAGCAGTGTGACCCACCCCGGCTTAACGGTTTGCCGTATTTTTGGGAAAGAAGTGCCCGATTGAACACGGCCGACGATGCGATGAGATATCATATGTCACGTCACGATTCTTTCCTTCTCCCTTTGCTTCGTCCTCTCGAGCAGGTGAAGCAAAGCGAAGAGGAGAGAAACAAAGCCCCTACGCCTCATTCTCTACTTCTCCACCAGGATCGTGACGTAACAGACCTCACGTGATCGCGCCCTTCTTTTCCAAAAATACGGCCATCCGTTTGAGATATAGATGTGTGAGGGAGGTTTTGGGAGTTCGCGTCCCGTTCGACGCTTATGCGGCCTTATTTTCGTGAAATCCAAATTTTGATTGAGCACCCCTTTAATAACTCGTCAGTGAATGAATAATCAAATGAATAAGTAAAATAATAAATTAATTAATTAGTTGACTTTGTACCCGCAAAGCTCTGCTGTTGGTTTTCTAAGTCCATGGAGGACCTCAAATGTCAGTAGACACAATTAATTTTTTTTTGTTTCTTGGAGTGCTTGGAAAAGTAGAGAGAAATTATGGCTCATTAAGTACACGATATTTGTCTCAATTTGGATAGGCTCGGCTGTCAAACCGCACATGCAGGCCCTAAATCATGAGAATTTGCTCCAAGATAAAAAAAAAAAAGACAACACTAAAATTATCTTCTTAAAGTTCAGAAGCTATAGTGTTGTTGCAGAATAATAACTCCAGAAAAAAAAAAAAAAAACTAAATTTACGTACATAAAAAATAAACAACCTCCCCTCAACGCACAAGGAGACGAAACGCATTACGCGTTGACCGGAGCTTTGACTTTATAGCCGCGCGTTTGAACTACTCGCAACTTTCAGCGATGATGGTATACCGCGGTGCGAGAATCGCGTTCCCTAGCCCCTTGACAACCGAACCTTAGAACAAAAGTGCTTGCTTACACCTTCCTGACGTAAAGGTATAAAGTAGGGCCCTTGTATCACTCATATCTCGCAAGATTATAATTACTTACACGTCGCAGACTCAACCTGGTACTGCTGTCCTACGACGGTCATTCAGATGGCAGGCATTTTGAAATAACTAGTGCGCCCCCTGTGGGCCGTGAGAGTTGCGAATACTCATTAAAAGCTTAAGGCGCCACCCGTGCATTTTATTATCGCTCAGCAAGCAAGAAAATTTCAGAATTATGGCTTATTTGATTATTTAGTTATTTTATCATTTTCAAGGCAATGAGGGCGTTACAGAAGGGAGTGGAAAGTGGACAGAACTATACACGAAATTGGCAAGGTACAAGAAGTAAAAAGTACATGTAAGTTACATAAAAAAAAAACACTTCAATTACGAGTTTGAGAAATTACATATCTATGATCGTGGCGATTGAGGTGGGCAGGTGGTTCTATATGCAGCCTGGTCTTTGGTGTAAATGAATAAAAACACACACACACACACACACAAAAAACATGTTGGTACGCCAATTAGGGACATCTACTTTATGTCAGCGATCTGTACAAGAGGAGAAGTACGACGATGGAGGAAGAAGCTCACCTTATTTTAGTGATTGGTTATAATGGTGAATTTTGCAAAATAGAGCTACATCGTGACACTGTTCTCCGTAGGACGAGGTGGGGGAGATTTTAGTGAGTTTTCTTTGATGATACGCTCGATAAACGAGAGTAATTAGAGAAAGTGAAACACGCACCGCGGTTTAGTATTGTTTCTAGGTTATTAGTAAGAAAATAAAAACTAATAAAACACCGATGAAAAAACAAAAAAAAAAAAAAAAACCAAGCAAGATACCTGAGCTCTGCATTTCTTCATCTGTGACCATACACTCTACGAAAAAAGGTATGTGAGTTGACTTTTTTACAGTACACGAATACAGCACATCGGAGCAAAATATTGAAGGATACCAGCTCATGATGAAGCTATAGGATACGGCTAGACCAGAAAAATGCAGTCTGCGAAGGTACAATGGGCGGCTGTGACGCCATGCTATAGCTTTGACCCTGCACTCACGTGGCTTTATTAATAATTGTGTTGTGTGTGTGTTTATACAGCCTAGAACTTGGTCTGCCTCACAGGGGCGACGCGTCTCCCAGCTGTAGATGAGAAATTTAGCCAGTGCGGTACAGCCGCTAGCCTGGGGTCTTTAACGTGCATCACGCAGTAGTGATACACGACCGCACGCCGGTACGATGCTCATGCAGATCGAAACGGGCAGGGGTGGGGCTCGAACCTCACGTGGCTTTATGTAGAGTGTATGTAGTGTTCTGACTTTATTTCTCCCTAGGAAACTCCGGGGACGGAGCAAATTCTGTAGTTCTCATGATTGAATGGACTTTAAGTTTGCTTTCACATAGCTGGCAACACAAAAAAAAAAAAAAAAAAAAAAATGGACTGAGAATGGGAGAGAGAGAGAGGGAGAAGAAAAAAGAGGGGAAAAGAAAGGCATGCTCAAGAGGGTTTCACAGCTCCCAACGCAATAGGCCGATCTCACTAAGCGTTCGGCGCATGCCTGAGGCCGCCGTAACTTTAGTTCACAGGAAGCAGACGGCCGTGCACGCGAGGGCTCGTGCAGTCTCATGTTCTACACGGGCAAAGCTCCAGCGACGTTGTCGCACGTGCAAAAAGACTAAAGTTCCCTCGATGCATTACGGCAGCGGTGGTATAGTCAAACTGGCTGGTGGGATCGGTCTACTGTTACAGAATATTGTAAGGAAGAAGTGGCACGACAGACAGGCAGGGGTTTTACCAAGCGCGTGCTGAGCACGGCCGCCACTTGAATGCTGCACCGCCATTAATATTGGCCGTATTTCCTCTCATCCTTCATTAAATCTAGTGTACAAACGTCTCAACACTATAATGAAAAAAGTAAACAATACTGTGCAGATGTCCGGTACTCAACTAAACAAAACAAACCAATATGAGCGTGCGGTCTCACTGGAGTAACTGCATGTGCATTACTTTATGAGATATAATATTTACTGCATCGCATAGGTAGGGCACTGTGTTTTTGGATAAATCTGAAAAAAAAAAATTGGAAAATACTGCCCGGTAAATTTTCCGTCAACTCGAATTTATCCAAGAAAACTCTGAATTTCGTGGTCACAGCGACGAAATAGACAGCAAAAAAGACAGAGTTTTACAATTAAACATTATAAGAGCACAAGGTCAGTGATCCCGAGGAGATTCCATTTCAGTTTCCTTTAAAAGCTACAACTGCCGAAAAAAGGGGTTTACCTTTTAGCACGTCGGGATTTCCCCGGGACAACGGCCTGGTCATGGCACCCGGACCTTATTTATTGTTATTTCAAATTCTTTAAAAACTCCCAATTTCAAAGAATTTGGAATCTAACAGAAATAAACTTCGATAAACCCCGAATCCCCAGCGAAAAATAAACTCCAAAAAACACACTCCGAATTCCACGAGAACTACTAAACTCAGAAAACACGGAGTTCATTTCTTGGGCAGCTGTGTGCGAGCACCGCCCTCACTGAGCCTTGTTTTTGTTTCCTTTCGTTTTGCTTCTTTTCGATTCCTCGCTGGGGTCGCACGCCAACTTGTCGACCTTCCATAGACACCGCAGTGATCTTATATCGGAGGCAGGGTTGGCTGGGCCTCTCCGCGAGGCAGCTGAAGGTCAGTTCTACGGCGGCGCGAAATCGACTCGCGGGGAAAAAAATGCATAATACCGAGGCCGCGTTGCCAACACGTCGCACAAAAGAAAAGTCTGCAGAGAGAAAGGCGTGTTCCTTCCTTGTATGACTGTGCAAAAACTGCCTGGAGGCGTGTTCTATGCCTGCATATGTACGAAGCGGTCAAACTTCCGACATGCGTGAAACGTGCCCGCGGGCAGTTCTGTCAACAGGCCTGAGGCGAACACTACGTATTTTGTGTGATGTACGAGCCGTGTGATTGCGACTTAACAATTACTCTATAGACGAGAGCAAGCGTATGGGCTCTAAAAATAAAAAGGGTGTAGCCATTACACCCTTTCGTCACGTGTAATACACCCCAAAACTTCAGTTCGACGTACAACGGAGTGACGTCGAACTTACAGCCCCAACTTTTATGAGAGGCTCGATGACGGTGCAATAAAACATATTAAACAGCTAAAGTACGTATAAAAGACTACAGAAAATAAAAAGCTAAAGTTTTGCACTAAATAATAAAAAAAAACGACTACTTTTTTTTTTTTTTTTCACTTAGTAACACGTACATTAGCGATTTTAATAAGTTGTACAACTGGGGTCCTAATCTGGGCACGAGAAGAAAAGAAAAAATGATCCGATGTTGTGTTTGGGCTAACAATGTCGCGCAGTTTGCCTACATGAAAAGAACGAGGGGCATCCAACCGCGGTACAGACGCTAACGTGGCGTCTTGGAGCATCTCTTCAAAAACAAACGGCGGACGGTTCGCGCGGTGGCCTAAGGATGACAGAGCGACTATAGAGTACACAATGGGTCTCGCTAACTATACATCCCAAGAGTCAAACGAGGCCCCGTTTTCTTAGTTGCGTGGCCACCTTCAACGTAATAAAGAAGATCCCTACTATAGTGTCGTGTACAAGCAGGAGCTGGCGCGTAAAGTGAACCGCTTACACTTATATGTGCGTAACAAAAATGGAAGCCTGATTGATACGTTTGAACTTTTGAGTCGAACCGTATATGTCGATCGCTTGGATACGATGAAGTCGTTCAAGCAGAATCAAAAAGTGCATCGTCGCGGGGCTCGTCGACTATGTGGGTGTGTCATATTATCAGCTAAACCAATCGTGCAAAAAAAAAATGGATTGCGACGCATTGATTGTGCGTGATTGGCTTGTGTCGGTGATGCGGACGGCAAGTCGTCTGCTTCGTGCGCAGGTGTTGCGGTGACATCAGAACGATATCAGAATGACATCAGAACGATATCAGAATGACATCAGAACGATATCAGAATGACATCAGAACGATAGTGAGTGAACGCTATAGATGGCTCAAGGTCTGGTTGTTTTACTGTCGCTGACGAACCATTTAGCGCAATCAACTTGTAAGGCACGTATTTGCTGACAAAGCATCATTTTGTAATACATATTTAAGAGAAACCCAATTTTAGGGAATTCTCTTGAAACTCGGGAACTGTACTTTCCTCAGAAAGTACAAACAAACACACAAAAAAAGGAAAAAAGACAAAAGTTAAGTACAAGTACAAATACTCAGAGTGTATACTTCGAGTAAAGTACAAGTTTTCTAAACCTACTTGAAGTAGTACTTTAAGTACCATGTTCTTAAATTACTACTTGCCAAAACTGAATAATTGGAGCAGCAGTTACTACATGGCGTGCACTTTTGCAAAGGATAATAATTATCGCCGGTGTCATCATCATCATCATCCTCCTCCTCATTATCGTCTCTTGCAGCACGAAAAGACTAGCAGTGGATGAGATAAAACGAATGGGAAGGTCTAGGGTGCCTTCGTGTGCGCCTCTAATTTCAACCCTTTTGAAGGCTCTCTTCACAGAGCACGACTTTCGGAACACCGACTTTTGGCACGAACGATTTCGTATTCCGGTGCGCGAAAACGTTCCCGGCCAATGTGCAAGGGTCTTGTTGTCTTTGAGGACAGCCCTCTTTCCGGCGGAGCGTTGGGACGACACACACTGTGTGGCTATCAATAGTGATCTTATACGATACTATTGGTGACTCATTTGAGAACGGCAGAGAGCACGATGGAATATTATTGTGATCGCGGGCTACCAACCTAAATTCCGAAGCAAGTAAAGAAAATCGGACATGGGTGTTTAGACAGCGACAGCAGGCTGCCGATGCCATGAGGTCGTTTCGCCTTTGATACGGCGATACTGGATCAAGTTGGGAAATTCACCCAGTGTCCATCTTGATGATCTGAGCGAGCGCGTGCTGGGCTCGCTTCAACCACGATCGATTCCGCATCACAAAGGTATAGTTATTCGTAGCACGAGGTTTGTAACCCAAAGCGATGAAAGCAAAGAAAGTATTCGCGTCGTTAAAGGGACCATAAAATGACCTTTTTACTTTTGCCAGATAACTTTTACATTAAACCGTCAATGTTCAC